GGCAGGCCTAGGCTTGGCACCCCCCCCCCCCCCAGACTTACAACTGAACTCAAGGCAGCAGAGATCTGTCTCCCTGGAGAAAATGACTGCTTTAGAAGGTGGACTCTGTGGCATTATACCCAGCTGAGACCTCTCCCTTCCCCAATCAAAACCTCTAGGGACTCCCCAGGCCAGGCCCCAAGGCTCCCTCCCTCCCTGAAAGGCCAAAGGAGGCCTGGAAAGGGCCCTTCCCCCACACCCTTTGACTCACAGAGCCGGTTAGAAGCCTCTTCCACCACCACCCTGCCCTGAACCTTCTAACCTCTCTCTCACAGTTGGTGTCTGATGCAGATCCCTGCAGAGGCCATTTCAAAAGGGTTTTGGGGGGAATTCAGCCATCCCTGGAGGGATTTTCTTAGTTTTTACATTTTTCTGCAGATACAGGAAGTCTACTGAGTATGTAGGAGAAGCTCCTGGGCCAGAGGGAGCTTCCTTTTCCTGGGACTAAGTATCCGCACGGCGCCATCTGTTGGAGATTAGATATATAGATAATTAAAACCATTTAAAATCCCAACAGTACAAAAACATTCTTAACGAGTTATTGACTAAAGTGCTCTAGGTGTTCAACATGATATTTCACAGATGGCGTATTTCAACTGTTCAGCATCGTCTGCTCCAGGGAAACACTGATGTTCCCTCATCCTGAATCCCCACATGTAGCGTTATTTTCTGACGAGTTATGTCTGCTGCAGAGCACTTCCACTGCCAATAGCCCGGGGGTGTATGTTTGTCTCAAGATAACCTGGACCAAGATATCCCCGTGGCCCTGGAACAACCACGATCATCCTGAAGCTGGTGGCCAATTTTGAGTCTCCTGCCTTTACTCCCTGATGAATTATGCCTGCCACAAATGGCCAGATGGCTGGACAGGCCGATTCTTCTATTACTACAGTTCTCATGGCCCCAGAACACCCACAGTCACCCTGAAGCCGGCAGCCAATTAGTCTCTCAGCTTTATTCTCTGATGAATTATGCCTGCCACAAATGGACAGACAGGTGGTAGACTCATGGTAACAGCCAGCCAAGTGATTTGTTTTGCTACGATACTTGGTTTGGATCCGGGTCATATGCGGGTGTCCCAGGTGGAATCTTTGTCCGGGTACCCATGGTGGCTTTCGGCAATCGTGCTTGTGCCAACTTGTTTTGCCTTTCTTCGCCATCTAGGAACAGCACATATTCTTGGGAGTGTCTCTACCATCTGCCAAGGACATTACTCACCAACAGCGCCCTCTGCAGTTAAGGCTTCTGAAGTCCAGCTCTGTATCACCAGGCTTTCGGGTGGTGCCGTAGCCCCACAAACGTCTTAGCAATATCCTAACATTTGGTCCTGTTGATGCTGTACCCTTTTCCCCGTTTTAATTAAATATATTTATTTTGTACTTCCAGAGTGTGTGAGTGGGAGGCAACATTAGAACACAGAAACAAGGTCCCTGGTTTTCTCAGCGAGGGCTTACAAGGAGCAAAGATAGCTTTAGCTGCTTGTTCCTAGTCCTTATTTGAACACAGGAGGTACAAAGAAAAAAAGATTATACATTGAACCATTTTGTATGCATCCTTATAACATTCAACCCCTTTTAGACCTCTCTGACTGTCGCAATTCCCAGCCCAAGAATTTTGGGGCTATTGTTCTGGGAATCAATAGGAGAAACCTGAGATGTCTCATTCCCTGCCAAAACTATGGCATTGGCAACAGTTCCCAGCAGAAAAATACTAGTGATATCTGTTCCAAGCAGGTTTGAATTTCACATATGTAATGTAACCTGAGACAGAGAAAAGCACAGCTGTTTAGGAGCAAGCCCCGGTGAATCAGTGGGGCTTCACAAGTCACGACTAAGCATACCGAGAATGTCACTGCATTGCAGAACAGTTCTTCAGCAGATGCCGCAAAGGAGTATAAAGTTCAACCGCTCTGTGTCTTCCCCCACAGGGCCCCAACACTGACACACATAAATAGTTTATTGCACACTTCAGTACTAAGCAGGGACAGCCCGTCTCCCCCCACCATGACACCAGCGGCAGTACGGAACCTCTAACACCACTTGTGCGACTTCCCAATGACAAGATACGGCAGCGAGATCAGAGATTTTTCGCTAGGCCAATACAAAAAGTTGGGTTCAGAGCCGGGCATTTCATACAAGACGTCGAGATAGATGATCAAGGTCGATAAGTACATCAAAGCCAAGTTGATAAAAATATGCCTGGGGGGAAGGAAAGGAAAGGGGGGAAGGTGTTTGAGATGGCAGCCAATAACTACACACACACACCCGTGCACACGCACCATAACTCTGAGGTTGTTTTCTTACAGGTGGTGGATGAAGACCTCCTGGGATTACTACTGATCTCCAGGCAACAGAGATAAGTTCACCGGGACAAAATGGCTGCTTTGAAAGGTGGACTCTGTGGCATTGTACGCCAATGACCTTCTTCCCCTCCTCAGACCCCGCCCTCTTGGGGCTCCACCAGTAAAATCTTGAAGTATCTCCCACACTGGAGCTGGCAACCCTACATAACCCACCCCCCCTTATAAAGCAAAATATTTATTTCCAGTATTAGCCAAACCCATTCTGAACTGACCCAAGGGGGGTGTTTGCAGCTGTGAGAAGGGAACCAAGACTCTCTCTGCTCGGTTAAGGGTCGAATCTGCATTTGCATTTTTAAATCAGTTTCGTGCTGCTGTGATGCCGTCTTTCTCTATGCTTGTTTGAATATTGTTTGGAGAAGATTCTTTTAAAGCAGTGTGGAGGTGCAATGACAGTGGAGCCGCCCCGAAAGGACAATAAACATACGTGGATGTGCAAAAGTAGGCTAGCACTCTTGAGGTGTGAAAACGACACCAAATGTAGACAGCTTTTTTGAAGACATTGGTGGGACAAATGCAGATTCAGCCTAGGCCTATATTTCTCCATGTCCAGGGCTCCATATTTTAATGCACCTTGGGGAATGTAGTTCTCAACACATTTTGAATTTCTCCTTGTCTCTCCCCTCCTCCTCGTTTTGACCCCCAACGCAGTCTGAATAGCCCGGCTAGCCCAATCTCATCAGTTCTTAGAAACTAAGAAGGGTCAGCTCTGGTTAGTCCTTGGATGGGAGGCCACCAAGGAAGACTGGGGTTGCTATGCAGAGGAAGTCAGTGGAAAACTTACTGTCCTATCAAACCTAAACTAATTTTACTGCTTTAACAACATAAAATGCATCATATTTAACTTACTTAGCATCTGAACAATGTTTGAGTCCAGTGGGACCTTTAAGACCAACAAAGGCCCCTGCCACACGGGGGGGGGGGAGAACGGCCAAAGTGCGGCTTTTTAGAGCTGCACCAAAAGAGACACGCGGCGGCAGGATCAGATAGATCCCCTGAGCCGCCGCGCAGTTCCTCCCCGGCACGATCAGATGCCGGGGGAGGGGAAGCCACTGAAGGGAGAGCGAGGCAGCCGAACTGCGCATGTGTGCGCATGCGCAGTTCAGCTGGGAGCCTCGATTGCTCCGGAAGACGGGCGCGCCGGTGATCTCACGGCCGCACTTGCTGCGCCGTTTCCGGTATTCCTGTTCTTTTGCAGGTTCTTTTTTGCAGTGGGTTTTCCGGCTGAAGGGACGGATCGGGGACGGGTGCGTGCCGCTTCCCAGATGTTGTGGTTTGATTGCGCCCATTTGCTGTGCCCCTGATCCGTCCCTCTTCCAGGCCAAAACCTCCCGTGTGACCGGGGCCAAAGTTTATTTATTTATCCATTGAATAAAACTTTGTTGCTCTTAAAAGTGCCCCCACTGGACTCAAACTTTGTTCTGCTGCTTCAGACCAGCATGGCTACCCACCCGAATCTGTTTACTTAGCGTATAAAATTGCAGTATTCAAAACAGTTATGGGATTTAAAAGTTATAAATGCCATAATTTTCTGCAAACAAAACTGCAAATCTACCCAATACTTGAAAGACAACTGCAAGCTGATACATCTGATGCTATCTTAGCACATGTACCTTAAATTTTGATATCTGGTTAGAGAGAACTACGTTCTCAATGAAACTTTCGGTTTTCCTCTGAGACTTTGGTGCAGTTTCTGCCCCTCCTTCTGATATTTTGCTTCCTTCTAGCAAGTTAGGGCAATAAGCTGCTTTTTACCCAGTCTGTGGGTAAATGTGTCACAGTGGTTTGAGGGAGAGGTGGAAGAGTCAATCGCATCAGGTCGAAAGGATGACAGAAGGCATGCAACTGTTGAGAAGCAATGACAGCCCTGCATGCTCCCCTCATAAAGATTAGGTATCCTTCAAGAAGCACAAATGCATCTTGAATTTAAGCACTGTATATGTCTACAATAGGACTCCCCAACATGGTCCCTGTGAATGCTGTGGCGCCTGCCAACATCTTTCCAGGCGCCCACCAAGCATTTTTAAAAAGTGGGTGGGGCCTGGTGTAGCGGGTCTTCTGCCCAGCGGGTCTTCTGATTGGCCACTAGAGATCCAATTGGTTGGGCAGATTAAAATAATATTGTTTCAGTGGCAGTGGTCACCACAGTGTTAGTTTTATTCTTTCTCACTCCTCTTTCCCAGCGTATGTCAGGGTTCGATAATCAGATCACACCACACACCACACAGTGTACCAGGCAGAGGCAAGGAGGATTCCCCCACACACACATTCCAGAGAATGGCAGTGTTAACTGACATCATATTTTTAAAATCACCTTTCTTCCTTGCACTCGGGCTTCCTCTCTGTGTATGACTCTACCTCCTAGAGCAGCCATTTTGTGTTTGGCTCTGTCTCCCGTGGCAGCCATTTTGTGGCTGCACCCACCAGGCAGTGCCAGAATTCCAGAAGGAGGAGGTGGTGGTGGTTCTGGATTTATACCCTGCCCTTCACTTGGAGTCTCAGAGCGGCTTACAATCTCCTTTCCCTTCCTCTCCCCACAACAGACACCCTGAGAGGGAGGTGGGGCTGAGAGAGCTCTGAGAGAACAGCTCTGAGAGAACTGTGGCTTGTGCAAGGTCACCCAGCAGCTGCATGTGGAGGAGTGAGGAATCAAATCTGGTTCTCCCAGATTAGAGTCCATGCTCCTAACCACTACACCGAGCTGTACCCATAGGCTCAAAAAGTTTGGGGACCCCTGGTCTACAGCAGCTCACATTGTCTTTAAAAGTATATCTCTCGTTCTAAAAGAAAATATTTCATAGGAGAGTTCTTTCCCCAATACTCCACAAAATTTCTAATTTTTTGTTGGAAAAATTGACGGGGAAAGCCCTTGGGGAAAACGTTTTGTTTTTTAATTCCCCCCACCCCTGGCCTTTACATCTCTAGCCAAAAGTTGGTTGTGACTTAATGGCTGCTGCTGCTGCTTCTTCTTCTTCTCTCCCCCCCCCCCTCAGATTCCACCACTGGACACACATTTGCATGCTATTTTTCAGTTCCTTGCTCTGCATTTTCACCATACAATATATGCCGTTTTTCAAAAATCTTTTTGTACCTTGAGAAGCCATGGTTATCACCAACCTGAATCAGCTGTCTGACTGAATTCTGTGACCACTCCATTCAAAAGCTGGAGTGTCTTTTATGGATTGGTAACATTCGGGATGGATTGCAAAAATCTTTTTTTCCTTGACCAAAATAATAGGGTTGCCAGAGCTCCCAGGGGAGGCGGAGGTCTCCTGCCGCCAGGCCCTGTACCCCTCCGGTGGGGGGACTTACCAGGAGGTGGAGAGAGTAAGGCCCCGACAATGTGGTGACACCCCTTCCACCACGCATCGGAAGCGGCATCATCTTGTCAGCAGTGTCGGGGCAGCAGTCTGGCATTTGGGCAACAACTCCATGGCAGAAGCCATTTTTACTGCAGAGTTTTTGCCCAAATACCAGACTGCTGCCCCGACACTGCAACATGATATCACCTCCGGGACACACCGGACGTGACATAGCCACATCACCAGTGAAGTTCTTTAGGCCTCCCGCCTGCTCCTGGTAAGTCCCCCCAATCTCCAGGAGGGACTGGGCAACCCAACCAAAAGAACGACGTTCAGTAGTGAAATGAACAGAAAATGAATGTCTGCTTGGAGGTAAAAATGGCATAATATGCCTTGAAAGGAATGAATGAAACGGGGGGAAGCTAGGAACGGAAATAGGTAGGGTGAAAAAATATTCTTAATGAATATCCATGAGAATGAAAACAAATGGGGGGAAAAGATATTTGTGAAGCCCTGAGTGGGAAAGGTTGTGCAGTGAAGTGGTGAGACTGTCAAATTGGCTGCAGAGGCCCAGGTTCGAATCCTTACTCAGATGGGAAGCTTGCTGGGTTATCTTGGACCAATCACTTTCTCACAGGCTAACCTACTTCGCAGAGTTGTTGTGAAAATAGCAGGGAGGCACTTGTATGCTTCTTGGATACAGGGCAGGATCAAAATTGTTCTAGATAGATAGGAAGCCCCGAAGTTGCTTTGGCACAAGCGCCGTGTCTCGCTTACCACAAGCTGTGAAGATAACAGAAGTTGATCATTCGGCAGAATTCGCAGAAGAACTTGTCTGCTATCCAGCAGCTGATGGCGATGGACCACCAGATCACGGTAATGCCAGCCAGCCGTCGTGCGCGGGGGTTGGTGTTCCTGTGAAAGACACCCAAGATTTGAGAAGTTGCATCCTTCCCCTGATCCAGCCCTTCCACGACGGGCCTCCTGATGGAACCCCCATACCAAAATGAATGCGGGGCTGAGAGAATCCACCAAACACACTGCCTCTCTGCATGAGTCGCTGCTCTGGCATTGCCCTCTTCCAATGATCGGCATCACTACTCGTGGAGTGCTGTCAGATTGTTTGACCACTCTCAATGCAGAAAAGCCGTAGAAATGACTTGCTCTCTGAGGCTCCCTGTGCCTCTGCAAGAGCTGCAGCCATCAGATCAGGGGCTCATGATTACAGGGTTACTGGGTTGCCAACTCTGGATTGGGAAATACCTGTAGATTTGAGGGGTAGAGCCTGGGGAGGACAGGGTTTGGGGTGCGGAGGGACCTCAGCAGGGTATAATGCCATACTCCATTGCCCAAAGTAGCCATTTTCTCGAGGAGAACTGATGTTGGAGATCTCCAGGTGCTGCCTGGAGGCTGGCAATACTAAAGGGAGGGCCAGACCTGTAGATTTGAGGGGTAGAGCCTGGAGAGGGCAGGGTTTGGGGTGCGGAGGGACTTCAGCAGGGTATAATGCCATAGAGTCCACTGCCCAAAGCAGCCATTGTAATAGCTGGGAAATTTTCTGTAGGGGAAATGATGTGCTGTGGCTGGGGAACATGGTTATCTCTGGGAGATCTCCAGGTCCCACAGGGAGATTGGCAACTCCAGTTACCATTTAAAGGAAGATTGGGATATGTATTTTGGCAACTCCAGTGACCGTTTAAGGGAAAATTGGGATATGTATTTTACCTCAGGACACATTCAACAGCAACAGCAAACTGGAATGTTAGAGGCAAAGGCCAATCAGGCCGCATATTCCAACTGGCTACTGTGAAGAGAGGAACAGCAAACTGTTTAGAATATTGGAGGCGAGACTCAGGCAACACAGCCCGTGGATAGGGACAGCTTCTGAGTGACAGATCAGGGAGTGAACTGATTTGGGAGCGTGTGGAATGTTCAGGAGAGTCCATGACCAAAACAGAATTATATATAAGGCAAGATACTATGAAATGAGGTCTTGAATTAACATTGATAGGTTTCAAGAGTTCAGATTCAACCAAGCGGGAGGGGAAGAGCTCTGAAATTTTGGCCCATGCAGTCAGCCGGAAAGGACATGACTAAAAGCTAGTTCTCTCTGCTACACCAGGGACTCAATAAAATGTGTGTGGCTTAATGGGAACCCTGCACCTGGTTCTGACGGTGTAGGTACAACAACAAGATGGGGCAGTCTTTTTTTTTTTTTTTTGAAGTCTCTGTAGAATGTTAAAAACATAATTGAGAATGTACCCAAAGTCCAAAGATTCTGGCTAAGTCCTGTTTCACTTCTCCCACTCCCAGGACAGCCAAGTTCTTATACCCAAAGCTGGCATCCTGCGGAGGGGGGGGGGGATGGCTGGACAGCTGTTGGGGTGCCAAGAGAGGGAAACTGGTATGGTACTCTTAGTCCCCTTCAGCCCCCGTCGGCACTGGCAGGTGGAGAAGAATTGGTGTTATACCCCGCCCTTCACTCGGAGTCTCAGAGTGGCCTACAAACTCCTTTCTCTTCCCTTCCCCACAACAGACACACTGTGAGGTGGGTGGGGCTGAGCGAGCTCACTCGAGGACTGCTTCTTGAGAGAACAGCTCTGAGAGAACTTGTGACTGACCCAAGGTCACACCAGCTGGCTGCACGTAGAGGAGTGGGGAATCAAACCTGGTTCTCCCAGATTAGAGTCCGCGCACTTAACCACTACACCAAACTGGCCCTCTAGTTTGGCTGGGTGCCATGACATTTTGGGGGTGCATCTACATGACATCTAGATGACATTCTGCTCTTCCCAAGCTTGACTCAAGGGCTTCTCGGGGCTTCCTCATTTAACCAGATCAAAGGTAACCTCCATTCATGCAACTCTGAGTAAAGGAAAAGGCATTCTGGTGTAGTTTGGTGTATTGGTTAGGAGCGTGGTCTCTAATCTGGGAGAACCGGGTTTCATTCCCCACTCCTCCACATGCAGCTGCTGGCATGACCTTGGGTCAGTCACAAGTTCTTTCAGAGCAGTTCTCTCAAGGGCAGTTCTTGAGAGAGCTCTCTCAGCCCCACCTCCCCACAGGGTGTCTGTTGTGGGGAGGGGAAGGAAAAGGAGATTGTAAGCTTCTCTGAAACTCCTTCGGGTAGTGAAAGGCGGGGTATAAATCCAATTTTTTCCCTCTTCTCTCTTCTGTTGGCTAGACTCTCCTTTCTGCCAGACTTGCATAGCAGATCTTGCGTTGCAGCAAGCTAAAACAACCTTTCCTGCTCTTTTCCTCAATTTTTCTCCCTCTTTCCCACACTTTTCTCATTCACGTATCACTCCCTCCACCTAATTTTTTCCATGTCTCTCCCCCTTTTTTTCAAGTTTGGTCTCAACTAATCTGGAAGAACCGGGTTTCATTCCCCACTCCTCCACTTGCACCTGCTGGATGACCTTGGGCAAGCCATAGTTCTAGCACAGCTGTTCTGGAAAAAGAGCAGTTTCTGTCAGAGCTCTGTCAGCCCCACCTCCCTCACAGAGTGTCTGTTGTGGGGAGGGGGAGGGAAAGGAGTTTGTAAGCCACTCTGAGACTCCTTTGGGTAGTGAAGGGCAGGGTATAAATCCAATCTCCTCCTCCTCCTCCAAAAAGTACGCAGACAGACGAGTGATTTCAGCTTAGCGTACTTTATTAGATCAGGAACAAGACAAAGTAACCAGCTCGCAGGCTGGTTTAGATGTGCAACAACCCCGCACCCAAAACACACACACAAGTGATTGGCTATTTACAGTGGCCGAGAGTTCCATAGGCTCTCAGCCGGGAGGCTAGCCTGCCGATAGGTGCCGGCTAGGATCCGCTTGTCCCATTGTTACTGAGTGCGAAGCTCGGCCGCTTCGCATGACCGTGTGGTGAAATGGCCACGCACGCGGTCTGAGATGGATACCCTCCCCCCTTTGTCCAAAAGACACCCACACACAAAGTCCTGCAAATAGGAGGGTGCTTTACGGGTTCTCGTAGAGCGGCGAGGTGCGGGAACCGGGGCGGAAGGTGATACCGTAGCGCTTGGCTGAGAGATGGGCGGTGTTGGCAGTTGTGGTGCTGGTAACGCTGTTTCTCGGGGCACGGTCGTGCTGTCAATTGGAGAATCGACTGGTGCCTCCTTGTGTCGGGCAAGGGTGTCCGGTAGCTGAGGTAGAGACGGAGTTTCTGGGGTGTCTGGGTCTTCAAAGTCCTCCGGGTCGTATGGCAGCACCCGCTGCCGCATCTGATCAATATGGCGGTGTAATATCTGGCCGTCCTCGCTGGAAATCTCGTATGACCTGGGTCCCCGGACTCTCACCACCCAGGCCGGAATCCATGGCGGGCCTTGCGCATAGTTCCGGGCATAGACCCTCTAGCTGCCTCTGGTGACTCTGTGGCCAGTTTTTCTTCCGGGGCTCAATCCAGCCTGGTTGTCAGGTGCCGGCCCAAGAGTAGTTCCGCTGGGCTGTGTCCCGTTGCGGTGTGGGGCATCGTTCTCTGGCCAAAGAGGAATGCAGCTAGCTTGTAGTCCCAGTCCTTGCTGGCGGAGCGCATCCTTGGTCATCCGAACCATGCGTTCGGCTTGGTCGTTTGTCGCTGGGTGGAATGGGGCATATCTGATGTGGTGAATTCTGTAGTAATGGGTGAAATCCTGGAATTCGCTCCAGGTGAAAGCTGAGCCATTGTCGGTGACCAGGGTGTTGGGAATACTATGCACACTGAAGATGTGCCACATGGCCCGGATGGCTGCTCTGGAGGAAGTGGACGGCACCGAAATGACCTCGAGCCATTTGCTGTATACGTCCACTAGTATGAAGAATAGTTGACCCTGGAATTGCCCCGCCAAGTCCAAGTGGAGCCGAAACCAGGGCTTGTGTGAGGACTCCCAGGCTCTAGCGGGAGCCCGGGGAGGCTCGGGCCGGGACTCTTGGCAGGGCAGACACCTCTTGACCCGGTCCTTGATCTCCCGATCCATCCCTGGCCACCAGACATAACTTCTGGCCAAAGCTTTCATCCAGACCACCACGGGATGAATCTCATGGAGCGCCATAAGGCCTCTTTCCCATAAAGGGGATGGGATCACCACTCTGCCGCCCCACATCAAGCAGCCTTTGTGGGCCGACAGCTCATCCTTGTGGGATGCAAAGGCAGTGAAGTCTGCCCCCCCCCGGGGCCGTAGGCCACCCCCTTCTCACCCAGTCCAAGACGTGGCAAAGGATCAGGTCTTTGGCTGTCCGGCACACCACTTCCCAAACCTGCACCGGTTGATCGGGAAGAGCTTCCAAATGAGCGGGTGCCAGGTCCATATCCATAGACGGCAGTGGGAGACGGCTCAAAGCATCAGCATGTCCCATCACTTTCCTGGGCCGATGGACAAGTGCATACGAGTATCCTGCCAAAAAACCCAGACCACCGGAACACCTGGGGAGATGTCATCTGCAGGGTTTGGCAGTCGGGGGCCAGGAGGCCGAGGAATGGTTTATGGTCTGTCAGGATCGTGAACGGCCAACCGTACAAGTAGTGGTGAACTTTTTTCACCCCCGCCACAATTGCCAGTGCCTCCTTGTCAAACTGCACATAGTTACGCTCGGCAGATGACAGGGTGCGAGAATAATAAGCAACCGGAACCTCCCGGCCGTCCGGTAACTGGTGGCCCAAGACTGCCCTGACCCCATACGGAGAGGCATCGCGGGCCAGGACCATGGGAAGGGCCTCATTGAAATGGGAGAGGACTGAGTTGGAGACAAGAAGGTCCTTTACCGCCTGAAAAGCGGCGGCGTGCTCCGGGCCCCAGTCCCACAGAGCATTCTATCCAGCAGGCGCCACAGCGGCCTTCAGAGGGAGAAAAGAGTGATAAAGGAAAGCCTGTAATTCTGTCTTGGACGTAGGTGGGGGAGCCTGCAAGATAGCCGTTGTTTCCTCTTCCATGG